TATAAAGGGGGAGTGTCACGAGGACGGAGCCAGGCTCTACTCAGTGGCAAACAATGATAGGACAAGGGGTAATGGGTACAAACTGGAACACAAGAGGTTCCACTTAAACTTGAGAAGAAACTTCTTCTCAGTGAGGGTGACGGAACACTGGAACAGGCTGCCCAGGGAGGTTGTGGAGTCTCCTTCCCTGGAGACATTCAAAACCCGCCTGGACGCATTCCTGTGTAACATTATCTAGGTGTTCCTGCTCCGGCAGGGGGATTGGACTAGATGATCTTTCGAGGTCCCTTCCAATCTCTAACATACTGTGATACTGTGATACTGTGATATCTATACGCCTTCACTATTGCATTCTCTGTTTCTTTTCTAAGTTTCTTTACCATCATTTTGAAGTACTTCGTATGGATGTGCAATATATATGCATATCATCCATTCATTCTAATTAGCATTAAAACAGTACTACCCACTTTCAAATTCATAAAACATTTATGCTTACTTTTGTACCAATTTGGAGTGTGCTATAGAGTGAGCAACCCTTACATTTGCAGTATCTCAGATATGTTTTAGATTTGGCTTGTCTCTGCAAGACATTTTGACCATTTATTCCTAGTCATTATAATACAAAACATTCAGATGCCCACTGGAACACATAAACATATTTTTAAACCGGCTCTAGTGAACATACATTTGAAAGAAGAAATCAAGTAATAAATTATATAGCTAAGATATAATTATTTTTCAGATCTGCATGACAAACTTTTAAATGAACATTTTGATTGGTATTCCTTAAGTACAGCTATATAACAATGGTTATTCATATATGAAGAGATGGACACATCTGAGTGAACAGTTGAAGTAAGCACACTGACCACTCTACAGCTCTCATTTATCTGTCACATTAAATCTATCATTCTCAAATTGCCATTTACCTACTTTGTAAGTTTGTAGTGTTCTCACTAGCTTTGTGCCTGATGACTGATGTGGCAAGCATATTAAACTACTAGTTTAATCTTGACACTGTAATTGACAATTTCACTGCAAATTAGACCACTTACTTTAATCCATCTCCACTGACACAAGTCTAATCAGATGGCTGGACTGGTCTCATCTGCTTCTTACAGATTTGTAATATTTCTTTGCCCGTGATACCTAATGATGCTATCTGCTGTTACCTCAGTATTTGTTACATGAACTCTTGGTACAGAGTTTATCCCCTTGCAAGCCATATTCCTTCAAGAAAAATCTGTGTTTTGATTAAATTTTATCACCCAGAAGATATAGGAAGAGTCTAATGCAATTTTGTTGTACTTGACCAATTTTGTGGTATTTGACCATCCCACACATAATATTTTTGTATAGACATAAATGTTTTGCTTTGGCTTATGAGCACATGCCCAGAAGAGAAGATAGGTATATTTGTGGTGCAAATAGTAACTGAAGTTTGACTCAGAAATCAAAAATACTCTAGGATCTGTTTCATACACTTTAATACATGTCTTCACTAATTGTGGTGCCCCCAGTTTCACTATCTCAGTGTTTCTTGTTTCCTAATTCACTTTATCCTTTAGCTATTTAGATATTAAATTGATCCTACCATTCAGGCTTTCCCACCGGGGAGCCCAAGTGCTGGGCTACACTGTTCCTCTTTCCAGAAGCTGATTTGTCTCACTCTTACTGTAAGCATGTCTTACCAAGAGAGAAATTCTTCGCAGGCTGAGAAGCACCAAACTAACAGAAAAGCATATCTGATATCTTAATAAAACTATTTATGTGTGTCTTCTCAGTCACCATAGCACAGGAAACAGTTAATGTTAGCCCCTGAGCAAGCTAAATCAGCTCTGAGAAAACTAAATCAGCTCTGAAGCCCGTGGGACATTACATCCATTTCCAGAAGAAAGAAGTGAAGAAGGAAAAAAAAATATAAACCAGATAAAGAACAGACACATCTTCAGATTCAGCTAGAACAGCAATCTTTTCAGTGAAAAAGTGGCACAAGATTAGAATTTCTGATAACAGAAAGCAGTGTTCACTGCAAGAAACCTTCCCTTTAAATTTCACTACAGCTGCTACTCAAAAACACATGCAACTAGCTTTGCTTCCTTGTCTTTTGTTTTCCAAAGCTTTCTCTATAATTTTGAGGGCTAGAAAAAAAGAATCACCATGAAGCTTAGATTTTTTAGGTAAACCAAGACAGATGAGGAGATGGAGTATTGTGAAAACCTAGTACACTGAAATGAATTGGATCCAAAGGTCATACAACAGTTTTAACAAAGAGATTAGGGTGCAAACCCTCTTTTCCTCAGTTTTGTATGTGCAGCTCTTTGGTCATGACGGTAGGTGAAATCCCTCTACTATAGGACATGCATTGTAAGTGTATCCACCAAAATTCTATATACAGAACACTATATAGAGCATATTGTTTTTTTTCAAGAGATCTCAACCCAGACTATCAATTGTCTCCTTATACAAGCTAGGGGAAAGAAGGGGAGAAGAAGAGTTTTCAATTTAAGTTTATGAAGTAGCAAAATTTCAGGAACGCAGACGTAGATAGAAAAGCTTTTGGAGGTATAACTGAAGTCAAATAAGCAAAACTATATAAATCCTGTTTAAAATTTAATAATAGCCATTAACAATAGTATTTAGTCTCTACTTTTCCCGTGACATATTTCCTTTTTAAGCATATTCTAAATTTCAAATGATGTTTTTAAATTAAATATGTATTTTGGATCGCATAATCTGAATAATTATATAAATTCAAAGAAGCTAAAAGACTGTTAAACAAGTGTTTGGGTTTTGTTTTTATGTTAGTAGCTAAATGAGCGGTACACTATGCTTAATACATAATAGCAGCCACAGTACCATTTTTCTTGTATATCGTATCTACATGTTCAAGTGCCTGCAAGTCTTGGTGAGCTTTGAGTGAAAGCTATCTGTACTTGATAATGCAGGAGGAACAAACACAGCAATTTAAAAACTTTTAACAGAGTTAGGGCTGCAACACTGGACAGTTAAGGCTGACATTTCCCATTACAGAGTTATCACAAGATCATAGGAACACAGATCATAGTTTTCCATTTATGTACCATCATACCACTAAAATTATTTAGTAAACTTAGCATAGACAATGCACTAGTTTTAGTCTGAAGACTAAAAACTTCCTTTATGATTCATATTTTGGCAAAGGATGTTGCCTGTAGCCTGCTATTTTGAGTAAGACTGTCAGGGTGTAACAGCTGAGCTCAGCATACAGAAGGCTTGTTACAATTGATCGTCTGTATTGTTCCGATGTTTGTCCAGCTGGGTGTATGCCCTTAAAATCAAGTGACAGTGTCATAAGCCTAAAGCCCTTCTTGGTGCATGAATTCCCCGATTCATTTCTCAACTAAATTACAGCTGAACAATGCACTCCAGTTCATCAGAAGCGCAGTTTAGTTACATGTGGGCTCATGGGTACTGATAACTGAAAATAACTGACCAATTATCAACACCCCTATGACAGAGCTAAAAGTGTCGTTGTCACTAAGCACACCCAGTAATGCTTGGTTTTCAGATATACTTGAAAATATACATACTGCAAGCAAAGAAGGCCCTTCATCCATTTTTCTCTTTGATTTGTGCATGGCTTTACAACCCACTTTTGTGTGGAAGATGAAAAAAACAAGAGATGAGGAACGAAAAAATAGTCTTCAACTGATTGAAGCTACCATTAAGTGAACAGTAATTCAACAAATAATTTGTTAGTACTCGCCCAGCAGATGAGATGTAGCACATTTATGTTTTAACAACAATATTAAATCAGCAGAAGGTTTGCTATTCCTTACAAAAAAAGTCACTTTCCATACAATGCTAAGTTATTTTGTTGCTTTGTGCTGGAGTGAGAGAGAAAAAAAAAAATATTAAGAAATGAGTAAATCTAATTATGATTCCATATAAAAATAATTTCTGTGAAATATCCCAAGCTAATGAAATGCTGCAATGTCCTGGCTGGGAATGCCGTGAGATTGCTTTAGGAAAGGAATTAAAAAAGAAGAAAATAAATAACAAACAAAGAATTGCACAAATAGGATTTAAAAATAATACTACAGCAGACACAGGAATGACTGCTCTCAATGCAGTGAGAACAGGTGTCTTTGGAGCTGGAGCATGAAGTTCTGCTGAGACTTTGAAGGGAAAGCTCTCACATCCATTATTCAAATGATATCCAAGCAGTAGGAAAAAGCCTTGTTGGCAATTTGCAATTTAAAAAAAAAAGAAAAAAGTTTTTTTTTCTAATTATATAAATGAAAGGGGAATAGACCCCATATGACCATCTAATATTGCATCTCACATTATTCAACAGAATTCCACATGCTGAATTAGGAGTTAAGGGCCAAAGATACAGATGAAAAAGAAACTTACCTACACAAATGCAGAACAGCCCCACCAAAGTTAGCAGGTGTTCCTGGAAACTGGAACAGAGCTGTCAGAATTTTTAATAAGCCACTGAAAGTTACTTACAAAAAACATGCCTCTGATATGATGATTTTGGTAATGCAGCACTTGCTTTTAATACCTATTTGTATCCTCAGGAATGTATGGCTAGACATGTTAGTTTTATATTAAATTTCCTACCAATAATATAACAACCTTATTGATCCATGTTAATGAGCATAGAAACCAACTTTCCATATTTTCTTTTTCCTCCAATAAGGCAGGTTACAAAAAAATATTCAATCATCAGAATAAGAGGAACTGAAAAAGTCCCATGAGTCATAGGTCTCTGGGTGAAGCATCTGGGGTTTGATGGCAACAGAGCCATGTCTGACAAGAGGAAGGATGAGCTACAGAAGCAATAGAAAACTTTTAACAGGTGTGAATGCTCTTGTGTAATGGTTTCAGTTGGTGGCTCATAAGCAAAAGAATTCATTTCAAGGGGAAGTTACCATTTTCAATTAAAAAATAAACATATCACAGAAAGCAGATTTTAACATTTATTTTTTCGACTCCAATTTTCATTTTTTCACAAGCAGTTTTGTTTAACAATAGTTCAAGAAGTACTATAACGCTAACTACGGTTAAAAGAAAATATTTTGGCACAAGACAGTGCCAAAGAAGTAACAAAATAAAAACAATAAATAACCCACTTTACACATGCTGAACAAAACAAAAATGACATGCAATAAACTTAAAATTCATACTCTGTACAAACACTTAGTGTAGCCCTTTCTAAATAGTACTCATACCATACTAGTGACATACACGTATTCATAAAAATAGAAACTTTAACAAAATGCTTAATTCAAGCAACACAGTGATGCAATATGAATCAATTCAAGAAGTTAAATGGTCCCAGGGAAGCCAGAGATAGTGGTAAGCACACAACAGTGTACAAGATGACGATCTCAAACAAGATGTTGAGCGAAGGAGTTTCTTAGCCATGCTTGTTTATTTCCCTGCTAGAAACCGTATCACATTGACATCCTCTTGAGCTTATGGCTGTTAAAAGAATGAGAGAACACACATAAATAATGACCTCAGCCACAGGTCAGTTATAGATTTCTGTCTCCAAGGTATAGCACCATCTGAGAGTACAACTCAGGCAAAAAAAGGGACGTGTGACATAACTGTCCCCAAGAAGACTCTAAAAAAGAGTAACTATGTTTGACCAGAGATGGAAAGACAAATATTTTCTGCATTGCCATCAGAACTGGTATTCAGAAGATGTAAGAAACAGGCTTTCATACATGCTCTGTTTTCATAGGATGGTAGTATTTAGATTTTTAGATTCCTACCTCAGGAAAAGAAGATGCTTCTTCACCCACCCCTCTTTAGGATTTACACAGGCATTCAACCCACTGTAGGTGTGGAAACTGGAAAAGAAATAATGATAAAGAGATCAGTAAGCCATTAGACACCCCTGCTGTTAAATACTGCGAAGATGCATTTGGTCTAAAACATGCATCATAATTACTCTATATAATAAATAATAGCAACTGCTTTTGTAAATGCCAGTTAGATATGGGATGCTCTACAACCCCTCCAACACTATATGAACAAAAAGAAACAAACCTAAACGTAACAGCTGCTTCAGTCATTTTTTGCATCATAAAGTTGTGCTCAATTTATTGGAAGTCTTAGGACAAAGAGCTTTTCTGGATGCCAAAAGTAATTTGCGAGACTAAGGAAAATAGTTGTTATCAACTATTAGGAAGGCTAAAACCTTGTGGGAAAAAAAAAATAGATCTCCATGAATTAAACAAACTCTTGTCATTCATGTGTCTGTTAAGAGGTTTTGGCAAGGGAATACTCTCTGTTGGCTAGAGATGAAGTGTGTCTTTGTTTGCACGGCTGAATCCTAAAATGTCAGATTTATTATTTACACTGTACGGCTGTCCTAAGAGTTAATAGTCCTTATCAAACAGAGGGTTTGTTTACAGGAATTACATACAATTTATTCGGTTAATTTAACCTTTTGAAAAAGCAAGAAAAATTGTGCTTATATTGTTGAAATTACTGTGTCTGCCCAAACAGACATCTTAAGACTAATACATGTCAGAAAAAAAAACCAGATCTACTAAAAAGTAACTTACATGATTGCATGGATATCGCAGACTTCACTGGAGAGCTGTTCAGTATAACCCTTTAGGGCCCACCGAGGTAGACGCACCTTGGTGTAAGACAGGCAGCAATCCTGGTTGCTTTGTGCTGAAATGAAGCAAAATAAACCCCATTTGGACCATGCTGCCTAGAGCACTCACTGTTCAGCTCACTGACTATCCAGCTCCTCATCGACAGAAGAGGAGGATTAGGCAGCATATTTGGCTGAAAAAAATCCCTTCCTTCTCACCCTCATATTGCTGCCAGCTGCGAGCATGCACACCCCGACATGGCTGGTGTGCTGCAGGGTGGCACGCAGAACCATTTCATGGGGCTGAATGCCCAAGCTCACTTACCTTCAGAGGTGCCACACAGGAGTAGTGCCAGGAGCCCCAGCATGGAAACCAGGACCAAGCTCTTGCTGCTAAAGCCAGCCATTTCCACTCCACACAGCAGCTACGCTCTAGTGAGTGCTCAGCTGCTGCCTGCTCGTCTTGCCAGCCTTGCCGCACCTCCACCTGCTTATAAAGGGGTGGCAGAAGCCGCGGGAATTCACCTGCGGGCGGGTTCCTCTGTCATCAGTGGGTTTTCCCATGTCAATTTCCATCATGCCTAATTTGGCCCCTTCCTGGGGGGAAGTTACAACTGGAGATAACAGTGTGCTGGGGAGTATTTTTTTCTTTTTTTGTTGATGTAGGTTAGAAAATTCAGCCAAAAAGAAAAGGAAATATAAGGCTGTGAGGTAATGGTTCTGTGGGTGAAGCATTTGTGTTTTTAGGGGTAGGAGTGTGGGTTGTGAAATGAGGAAAGTCAAATGTAGGTAACTCTCAGTGTTACCTACAGAATCTGCAGATCTGCTGTGTTCTAGTTTATTAAACCGAAGTTGGGGTGAGAGGGAGGTGGGCCTAACCTATCCAGTTTCATTTCAGTATGGCATGCTCACAGTATCATCTGCAATGATACCAAAGCCCTACATTAACATTTACTGGTTGGCCAATACAGTAAAGACAGACTTCCCATATTACTGCTTTCTGAGCTCTAGACTGTAATATTTATGAGGACATGTGAGCAATATTGAGTACTCATGGAAATGGGTTTCTGTACCCATATATTCACTGCTATCACTTTCTACCTGTTTGTTACACATCTGAACTATTTCGTCTGGAAACAGAATTAGCTTAAAGCCAACTTGAAACAGGGTCTGTATTTTCCACCGAATCTATACTGTCCAGAATGTATTAATGTTGCTTTATAAGCAATAGCTGTGCCTTGTTACTTTCCCATGCCAATCTGTACCTGACAATTGTGACTCCTGAACATTCAATTAAAACACACACAATCTTAAAACTGTTTCACACAGTTCATGAGAAACCCCCAGGGAGAGGCTCTGTCATCACAGCAAGTACACTGTTTGAACTGCTACTGGAAGCTGGTGCTTTCCAGTGATGTTTAGCGACCTGTGTGAAATGAATGTGATGGCTACAGGCCATGTCCTGGTCAGCTGGTATATACAAGAGGTGCTGCCAGTTTCAGGTGATTATAGAGTAACCTGAGCTGTAAGTAGCTTTTCTTAAGGTAGAGCTCAGGGATACGGTCATTAGTTTTGAACTAGACACCTCCTGTTTTTCACAGACTACCAGCACCTTTCATGAAGGGTTCATTCCCATTATTTCTTCCTAGAAATGTAAAAAATCTGAACTCTGGAATAGACTATTCTTCAAAGACACTAATCTTTCAACATAACAGCCAGAATTTAAGGAAGATCATATGGCTAGGGTACATATGAGCAGTCTTGCAGCATGCATGGTGTCACATATGTTGGAGATGCTTCTCCTTAGGGCCACTGCCACTGGCCAAGGGTCATAGGAAGAGGCAACAAAGATTCCATGCCCTGAAGTTTTGTAACTTCTTTATGGATCATAGTGAAATCTCATAAATGTACATAAACATCAGCGCTCTCTATATGCAGCTATTTCTGGACTGCTTTAAGGATTATCTGTCAGCATAGGCAATGCTACAAAATAGCTAACTAGAAAGGTAATGCTTGAAATAATGGAAGTTTAGCTTGATAGCTTTTTCCTTCCCATAAAGATAGGAGTAATTAAACACGAATCACAACTATTTCTAGTTTGACAGGTATCAAGGAGCATCAGGTTTGAAATATGCAATTCTCTATCTTTTCCCCATCAAGCACCACTTTCTTTAAAAAAAAAATAAAAAAAAAATAAAAATCCTGCCTGTCCAGTAACAACCTTGGATTTTTTTGCTACTTCTTATTTTTAAGCAGGAGTTCACACCATCCAATCTGTATCAAGTAAGTGCCTTTAAGAAGATTTGAAAATTAGGCATTGCGTTATCAGCCTGCATTCCTCTACTTCCACTCTCCCATTTCTCTCTAGTGTTGATACTTGAAAAGTCTCCAGCTACTTTAGACAGAGAACTTTCTAAGATTGTCAAGACAGTAACCACATCTTCTTATCCATGGATTAGTATCAAGAGCATCAAAAGCACTAGGCAAACAATGATTTTTAAAATTGCTAAAAAGTTTTCCAGAAAAAGATATGTTTTTCTCCTGTCTTGCTAAGGCACTTGTTGCTCCTTCATGTCTCCTTTGTTAGTTTGGAGACTTGAGACATAACTGATTAGGATGATTATAATGCTTATTGATTAGGCAGCACATTTTAAAAAAGCTAATATTTTAATTGGCTAACAAAAATACCACTGTTATTAGGAATATTACTTCACAATTATAAAATCATATTGAGTACAATGCTGTTGTTTACTATTAGCACAAATAAAGTGGTTAAATCTATTGATTCAATTACTAAAAAGAAAAATTAAAATATCATAGTAAGTGCTATTAAATTGCAATTCGGCTGCCTTGTCTCATGCATTGAGTATTAAGGTACAAATCTATCCTTCCTTACAAGTTTATGTGTTCTTGCTCCCACCTCTTGTACTGTTTTTCAGCCATAGAGCTGGTGAAGATTCTGGTGGGTTATCCACAGGGATTGCATCCACAGGCTGGCTTAACCACTGCCTGGAGGCAGCCACACTTTTCCTGTCAGAAGGTCCTTCCATTTCTTGCTCTCCTTAATTTTATACCTTATTCCCCAGTTTTTCTTTTCCTTGAACCCACCGTTTCACCACCCCTGCATCTCTTTTCCTGTGCCCAAACATCTCACACATAACTCACACCTAACTAATTTTCCTCATTGATCCCAAATCTATTACACCCATTCCAAACTTTGGTGTTTCTTATGCCATTTACTAGACAAATACAGCTGAACATGTGATTACCAATGCTGTTATCTAGTTGCAGGCAGCCTTGTATCTCAAGTCTCCCTTCTCACTCTACAGCTCTATTTCTTCCCCATTCAGAAGACAGAATCTTCTCACTTGAGCTTTGACACCCCTACCTACTCCTAATTGAGCACAAGCAGTTTGGATGCCAAAGCAATGACACCACTCAGTTAATGCTCAGCCCATACTTCTGTCCTCAGGCAATTTTCATTGTACCTCTGATAGGAACCAGAGGCCAGACCGGTGTCCTGTGTTACAGCAGAACTCTTGCTCATGGTACATCTTTTATCTCGTTGGTTTGACTTAGGAAATCAGGTTAAAATTTAGATTTCAAACAAAAGCCATGAGGAGGGCCTCAGCTTCAGGAACCGTGTGTACAAAGTCCCTTTAGTTTATTTGCACAAAGTAGTTTAAAAAAAAAAAATCAAGAAAGGTTTTTGAAGTTGCCTGCTAGGTCCTGCTGTGACTCATAACCACATCTTATCAGTCTTTACAAGTCCATAATGCAAACAGAAGGCAAAAAAATATAAAACCAGGTTAACATTTATGTGTTCAAGGGAAGTGATTGTTCCCTGTGGATGAGGGGACGGTGACTGTTGTCCACCCTGACCCAGTGAGACTTTCAGCCTGGTTTCCCTTAGCATCTGCATGACCAAATAGTGCTGTATGGATTGGCCAGAGGACAGGTGAAAGACTGGTACATTGGTGTCCAGCGTGGCCACCAGCACCTCAGAGACTGTTCATGGGCATTGTGGTTCGTCATTGCTGGTCCAATACATTGTGTTTGGTGTTCTGGTACTGGTGCAATTAGGAGGCTGCGCGTGGACCAGGGGTCAGGGAGGAGGCCACAAGGTCAAGGGAGACCGTTACCTCCCTGCGCTGGGGCCTGTAAGGCTGTGTGCAGAGGCCTGTGCCCAGGGCCTCCTCAGAGGGGCACAGCCAAAGCACAAGAAGCTGCAGACGCCAGTTGCGGAAAGGGAAATTCTCATCAGACGTAATGAAAACCCCTCTTCACAGCAAGGTAGGTGAACTTCTGGGACAGGTTGCCCCAGAAGAGGATGTGAAAGCCTGGTTTGAATACCCTTGGAAGTACTCAAGCCTCAGCTGGACCTGGACCTTCCCTGAGCATGATCTTACAATTGTGGTCCTTCCCAAGCCACAGTCAAGCCCACATTTCTTTCTGTTTCTGTCATGTCTGTCTTTTCTTCTCTTTTTAGTTTCCTAATGTGTTTCTTCCCGACTTTCCTTTGCTGTAAGTTTCTCAACTTCCCTCACTCCTGTCAGACCTCCTCAGATTCCCTCACAAGCCCTGCTCACTCTCCCTCCCTGTGGCTGCACTCCCAGTAAGACAAAGCACTAAAACACAGATCAATTAAGTTTTCAGCCTCTCCTAAACCTCCCTTCCTGTTGTTCCAGAGGCCAGAGGGAACACGGCAAACCACTCCTGTGTGTACTATAAAAGATAAGGTAAATGTAGCCTAGGTTCCTGTGCTGTGGAGCCATTCAGAGTTGTGAAAGGAGAAGAAACGTATCAGGGAAACCAGAGCATTTTCCAAGGCAATACTGGGAAACCGATAATTCTGAGCAGTTTGGGGATGTTAAAGAGGAGATCTGGGGAGTCAGACTGCTCTTGGACACCAGCTGCAGAGGTACAGCCTCTCTGTCCCTGCTTTCCATGATCATCGGTCTGCTGTCTCCAAGCAATATGTTTCTTTTCTTTTAGCAGAAGGCTTTTACTCACAGAAATACCTGATGAAAGTCTGAAGTTCTGAAGGGACTTCATAGTTCAGCCATGGTAAACACCACTGTACCAGTGCAAAAATGGGCATTATTTCTGAGGGATGGGCCTGCCCCATCACTCTCGCCATTGCAGAGCAATACAGAACCAGACCACCTCTTTTCTAGGTACATGTAGAGTTGTGACAATAAAGCTATGCCTCTTTCTATTCCAAATCTTGCATATGAGAATATGCCTCTTTTCATTCCAAATCTTGCATATGAGAAGCCATATGAACTGCACATGACTGGGAAAGCAGTTTGAAATGCTTTGAAACTGTGGCCCCACAATAGTAATCTATCTAACTATGCAGCTCTGCTGTGAGATCCTAAAAGCCATACAGTGCAAGGCTTAAAACACTCTTCTGAAGAGAGACAGAGAAGGAATTTTATAATCATTAACTATTTGACTGATAAGCTACAGCTTATAATGACTTCTTTATGGGTTTAGGTCTAATATTTAACACAAAAGCTTAAAAAAAAAGAAACAAAAGAAACCATAAAAACATCCCTCACCTAACCTAATGTCAGATGCTGTCTACAATATCTTTACCTGTCCACTACAGTAAGACAAGAAACACACTGACAGTTTCTGACTAGCACATTAATGAAATTTCCATTTCTATTCATCCTTGCAAAAGATGTTATTTTATTATATATTACTGCTCTTGTCTGGACTGCTGGAAATAAAACAGTATAGCAATACAGCTGATGAAAAAGGAAGAAAAGAACCAAAGAGAGAAAATTCCCTTCTGTAATTTCGAATGATTTAGAAGACTTTTGACAGAGCAGAGCATGAAAAGGCACCAGATCAAAGGAACAGGGCCAAATGCGGGGTTTAAAACATTGCATAATCCCCAGTGATGAAATACATACTAATCCCAAGCACAAAAGTTCCACAGGTAACTTGCCCAATATCTCTGGAGCCTTAGAGGCTATGATGCAATACAGTATTTTCATGCAGTTCATTTGCATGACTGACAAAAATCCTTATCTGAAGGAAGAAACCAATTTTCACTAATTATACATTGCACTTCATAAGAAATAGATCTAGAAATACTATTGAATGGCATTTGTTTGATGCAATTATGGACAAATTATATGCCTGTTGGGAGAAATTAATCTCTGATGTATCAAAAGTGCAGGTTATGAGAAGGCTGGTGCATCCACTGTGAACAGCCCAGCACCCGTCCTAGCTTGTTGCTTGCCACAAAGTACATACAGGAGATGAATACTTGGTGTTCTGAGGGCAGGTTTCCCTCTTTCAAAATTAACCCTCCATTGTAGCCAATCACCTTTTCACAGAAATGGACCTCTCAAAGTTGAAGGCAAAACCCATAGTTGGAAAGAAGCATGGAAAAAAATACACTACTGGGTTTCTGTGGGTTTTGGTAGCAGGGCTTCTAACGGAGTGGCTTCTGTGAAAAGCTGCCAGAAGCTGCCCCTAGGTCTGGTAGAGCCAATGCCAGCCAGCTCCAAGCTGAACCCGCCACTGGCCAAGGCCAACCCATCAGTGACAGGGGTAACACCTCTGGGATAACATATTTAAGAAAGTGGAGAAAAAACAAACACCCGGGCAGAGCAACAGCAGCTGAGAGAGAAGAGTGAGAATTGGTGAAACAAGCCTCAGACACTGAGGTTGGTGAAAGTCAGGAAGGAGATGCTCCACACCCCAGAGCAGAGATCCCCCTCCAGTCCCTGGTGAAGACCATGTGAGGCAGGCTGTTACCATGGAAGGCCACAGTAGAACAGATACCCACCTGCAGTCCCATGGAGGACCCCACGCCAGAACAGGTGAATGCCCAAAGGAAGCTGTGACCCCATGGGAAGCCCGCAGAAAAGTGTTTCAGAGAAGCCCTGTGGAGAAGGACTTGGGGGCATTGGTGAATAAGAAACTGAACATGAGCCAGCACTGTGCCCTTACAGCCCAAAAAGCCAGCCTTATACTGGACTGCATCAAAAGGAACATGACCAGCAGGTCAAAGGAGGTGATTCTGCCCCTCTGCTCTCGTGAGATCCCACTTGGAGTACTGTGTGCAGCCTTTGTGTCCTCAACATAAGGACATCGAGCTGTTGGAACAAGTCCAGAGGAGGGCCATGA